TCTGAAAATAGGACATAAATAAGAGCATCTAACTTGTTCGATTGATGGCCTACTTTTTCACATCAAAATTATGAAGTCACAGATGAGAAATTGCAGAATCCATTTTGCAGAATGCCCACATCGAAGTTATATAACTAGATAATTTCTTTTTTCGTCAGCATTCTGCAAAAGGCCCAATTAGTGTCGCAGATACTGACTACACCTTTCATGCAGATAAGCAAGACTGGGTACATTCATGGAGACTTCTTCATCAACTTTGGAAACACCTAACACCACCATGCAGTGGCGCTCTGAGGCGATTCATTGAGTTATGGCAAGGCAAAGTTGAGAAAACGTTGGTATGACTTGTTCTCTTCTCGTTAGCCCTTGTGGAAGTCTCATGGCTGCAATATCAGGTTTGATATCTTTCAATTTTGAATCGTTGTTTGTCAATTCGTGTTGCAATGTGTTGAGTATTGAGTTTTTTATGATTTTTTTTGTATCATTTGGACTCACAGATATATTAAGATCGACATTATTCTCAGTTGCTTCTCTTGCTGCAGTGTTAGCTTTCTCATTACCGTCAATTCCTTTATGACTAGGAACCCAAACAAATACGATCGATTTTCCTTTGGACTGGAGACAACTCATCAGTGTTAAGATTCTTCGAACCAGCGGATGTTCACTGAAAGAGTTTTCAATTGCTTGAATAGAACTCAACGAGTATGTGCAAAGGATGTATGAATGAAAATTACATAAGTCCATGTATAGTAATGCTAACCAGATTGCATATACTTAGTTCTGCTGTGAAAACACTCGCTTGATTCGGTAAGGTCCAGAAGTGGGTTGATCCCAAACATGCGAAAGCACTTCCAGTTCCTTGCTCAGTCTTCGATCCATCCGTGTACACTATATGGCTATTCGGGTATGTTTCAATTATTCTATTGAATTCAGCCCTAATCACCATGCGACTATTTTATATTTCATTGTATTAACTGTTGTTTCATTGTAGAATTTTGAATAATTAGCTGATGATGAATTTATATAGGTTCGAAACATGTACTTATTGATGGTTTCACCGTTCTAACATCTGGAGATGATAATAAATCGTGGAGACAACTTTGAGTTTTTATTCTTCGCAAATCACTATCTTTTGTTTACGAGTGCTGCTCTCTTCATGTTGAGGTCGGAAACTTTCCAAACCAACCCCGTATATCGTTCATTACGGTATTAATAATGAGAACTTTATGTCTCTATTTAAATCTGCGAACAAACTTCATCAGAAATGCCTCCAATTAAATTCGCGATTCTGTTTACGTGACAAATATAACATGGAAAGAGTCCCAATTATCGGTTACCTATGAATTCTAAGAACATCTCAGTTTCCACTTAACTGCTTTCCGACTTCCGGAAACATTTCCATACTAATCTTGGCGGGCCGCAGAACCTTGCATTCGAACACACCTCCGCACAATGTTTATATATTGCGTTTCTGAATAAATACAATGGCGACCTTTATTCTAGACAAGGTTATCGCAAAAACCAATATCATCATTGAATTTAAATTAATACGAAAAAGTGTCGATCACCTACCCTTGAGTCGATACACCACTTGAGGAACTTATCCCTACTCAGACCGGTGTTATGTAATTTTCATATAAATGTTGAGCGGTTTTTTTCTTATTATTGATTGTGCTCCAATCAGCATCCAAGAGAACACGAGGAAGTTTTTGCGGTACTGACTGGAGCACAGGAAAAGTAGTTAAGAAAATATATACTTGAGAACATCATGTTTCTAGTAAAAATTGGAATTCAGTTATTGTGTATTGTCATTACCATGGTGATGAATATTAGAGCGTTCAACAATTGTGAGTAATTTTTATTCTTTTTCATGTCATCACTAGCCTATACCGGGGCTTCGCTCGCATTTATGCCATTAAATAAATGTCAGTACAACTTTTGGTGCACGGGCCCACGATGAATTTTTGGATAGATCAGATTTTCGCTTCCAAGGCATTTTTAGAGAAGAACAAAGTAAGACTTAAAATCAGTGAGTAAGAAATAATTACGTGGCATCCAATCACAAAAATGATACCTAACCTGAAAATAAAAATGACAGATAAAACATCTAAAACTATAGTCAATTGGATTGGATTGGATTGGATATTGTCGTTACTGTGAATAATACAGTGCGACGGTTTTACGGTACGAAGGGTTGGAACTTCCTTACTGGAATGTTAGATGATGTTAAAGTAGCTGAATTCAGAGAATTTTTTGACAAACAATTTTTTTATCCTACATGAAAAGCATTTTTTTAATAAAAAGTAGCCTATGTTACTTCTAATACCTCCAAGAACATGTGTACAAAATTTCATTATGATTGGTTGAGTAACAAACAAACTTATATTCGCATTTATAATATTAGTAGGGATAGTAGGGATGTCATAGTATCATTTTTCCAAATATTTGAAAGGAAGAGTTTCCAGTAATTTCGTCTCTTTCGAGTACTTTTGAATAGGTATTTGGTTGATGTACAACTATTTACAAAACAGTAAATATTTCGAAATATAATTACGAAAAATTCATCTCTCACAAGTTATACCTACACAGTAGGCTTTGAATATCACTGGAGTTTTTTCCATCACCAAATCGTTATTTTAACACCTCGACACGTGTTTCGATCACCAAGTAATCATCTTCAAGAGAAAGATCAAACT